GGTTGTCTAGCACTCTCTTGGGACGAATGAAATATTTCCTAGGAGGGTATAATAATTAAGATACAGGCGTGTAGTTCCATTTGATTTCCCTACTATTCTATCGATTCGTTCTGAAAATTGTTGTATTAAGCCCGAGGCACTGTTTAAACTGACATTAGTTTGTCATTGTTGTTGTGAACGTGGGTGAAGTTCCATATTACAACTTGTCAAGTTTTTCGCAGATCTTGAGACAAAGAATGACTGGTAATGTGACATCGATGATATATAAAGTAACGTCATACTAATCATTTTATGGTCGTCCTACCAAAACACAGACGATCTCTCTCTCTCTCTCTCTCTCTCTCTCTCTCTCTCTCGTGTTATGCTCCCTTCTTCAAGTACGCTATTATATGACCTATAATAGATGATTAATAATTAAGATGTATATAATATATACAAATAAAAGAAAAACTTGTCTGCGATATCATCTTTGGTGGAAGCGGACGTTACAGATTAAGATTAAGAAGAAGACTAAGAAGAAGAAGAAGAAGAAGAAAAACCATCTAGTCAATAAAAAGGGCATATTTTGATTCGGTTACGGTTATTTTGGTGGACCTTAGGGGCACTTACCCCCTCCCCACCGCCCCTCCAGACGTAGGCCCGTGGGTACGCTAATATGCCTGTGTGTGGATGTAACCTTATCGAACCAGGACATCCATTCACTGGGCCACAGCAGCGCAATATATCTTCATTCTTAATATTCGTAAAGAAATTTGATTAATGGAAGGATTTGTATGTCATTTACATCCATGCACAATTGATGAAATTCAAGTAATAAAAAGATAGCCACGGAAAACGTAGAAATACGCCAGCACAGCAGCTTGTTGGAAAGGAAACATTGGAAGTTTACCAAATTTGATGATAAATCGATTATCTATGTGGTCAGAAGCTTTTCGCAACATATAAAATAACTCTGGAACAGAAAGTCCGAGATTGCTGAAAATCGGCAAGGTTCACACTTTCCGTTAAAGGGCGTATGTCTCTATTTTTGGAACCTTGAAATCGATTCTAAAATGATGCTTAATAATGATAATAATAACTTTATTCATAATTCTAGGGTCACCTGTCTAACCTCGTGGATTTTCTCCGGGTCGTTCGGTTTCCTCCCACTGCTAAAGACCCCTACGCGCAAGCAAATGATTGAAATAAAATTAAACCATGAGTTAGTCTCAAAATGACCTAGTTTGTGTGGACGTTAAATAGAAATAAAATTGTTAGTCCAGAAGTGACCTAGCTTTTGCCGAGCTTCCTCCGCCCCTCTCTCTCTCTCTCTCTCTCTCTCTCTCTCTCGGTATACAAGGCTTCCGGCCTATAGTACATTGTGCTCGAGAAATATATTTAGAATTGTAATTTTCAATTAATGTTATAACCAAGAAATAGTAATCATCATAATTTACAGTTAGAGCATAATTTAAATATTATTTCACATTATCACAATCATATATATACAGATCTTTATTTATCTATATTAAATCCATGGCATTTAGAAGTTATTTTATATATTCAAACATTAATTATATGGAAAACCAAACAGCTCTTTATTCAGTGTTCTTAATTCATAGTCCTTAATTCTTATTTCTTCATTTGTTGTCTTATTTCGACATTTGTACACTAAAATTAAGATTTGTATCTTAAAATCAATATATGTTTTACAAATCAGACATTTGTCGCATAAGATTTGTAAAATGTATTTTTGTTTGATTTAATTTGATTTGAATATAAAGATAAAATTTATATCAGAAAATCAATAAAATAATCTACATTTGTACAACTAATATTGATTTTAAGATACAAATGTTAATTTTGGTGTACAAATGTCGAAATATGAAACGAAATGAAGAAATAAGAATAAAGGACTATGAATTAAGAAATAAGAGTTAAGACCACTGAATAAAGAGCTGTTTGGTTTTCCATATAATTAGACTGTTAATGTTTTATGGTATCTACATCTTAATCTCAGTCAATTACAGGGGGTTGGATGGCTGAATGGTTAGCACGTGCGAGCTGTATCATAAGGTCTGCCATTGTGTCCACTCGAGACAAACTAGGTCATTTGGGGACTAACATAATTTCAATAATTGGCGTAGGGGTCTTCAGCAGTGGGAGGGATCCGGAGGATCCGGAGAAAACCCACCAAGAGGTTGGACAGGCGACCCTACTCTTTGTCACGTACAACCGGGGAATGGAAACCACGCCAGTTGACTCAATGACAGAACTTTTGATTCAGCACGCACGGGCTAACCATAAAGGTACATATTGATATAATATGAATTTTTGTAAAGTGAATTACATGTATATTCAAATCTTAAAATCAATATTGTAATTTCTAATCATTTCTGTTCGGTGAAATACGTGAACAGTTTAAATTGAACGGCAGTAGTTTTTGTATTCTACATGTTCTACTTAATTTGCCGTTTGTGAATCACTTCATAATTACTTATTACTTCCACGTTGTATTTTACGATATGTTTTAATTTCCTCAGTACAAAAGTGCAACCGACACCACAGAATCCCCCCACCCCCTCTCTCTCTCCCTCCCTCCCTCTCTCTCTCTCTCTCTCTCTCTCTCACTCTCCTCGCGTTCACAGGGTTTTCGGACAAACACACGGACGGTTATAAGCAGTTCGCTGACAATTCCTACATGACATTTAAATTAATGCTTCACACCATATATACTATCTTCTATCACGTTAACACGTTTTTAGCTCCGGAACGGACTTTAAGAGAGAGAGAGAGAGAGAGGGAGAGAGAGGGGGCGGGGGGAGAGGAAGCTCGGCAAAAACTAGGTCACTTCTGGACTAACAATTTTATTTCAATAATTCGCTTGCGCGTAAGGTTCGTTAAATGTGCGAGGAAACCGGAGAAACCGGACATATGACTGCTTGACAAGTGTATAAATATCGAACACACGCCACCTGACTCAGTGAAAGATCTTAGGATCTGAAGCGACCGCTATATATCTTTCAGCAACCCAATTTAACCGGCAAACACAGTGATGACGCGCGTTAAGTTTATTGGCTGACTCGTCGAGTTTCAGCTATTCGTTGGCGGTAAACAACAAATCAAATATGTTATTAATGTACATACGGGATTGTCATAAAGTGATACATGCATTCACATATGTGCATGAAAAATGACAAAGCAATAAATATTTATACGACAATATCATAAGTAATGCATGCAGCTTGCAACATGTGTGCTATGAAAGGTAATTAAAAAGCGTAATAGACACTCGAAAACATATAATTCATTTTCTTTGTAACAATACACGTAATCCGACAGAGAGAGAGGGAGAAAGAGAGAAAGAGAGAGAGGGAGAGAGTAAAAACTGGGGTTTAACGTACACTAGACACAAACTAGGTTATTTGGGGACTAACATATGGTTCAATTTTATTTCAATAATTCCCTTGCGCGTAGGGGTCTTTTGCGTTGGGAGAAAACCGGAGGACCCAGAGAAAACCCAGGAGGTTGGATAGGCGACCCTACTCTTCTTGTCACGTACCACCAGGGAATCGAAACCACGCCTTTTGACCCAATGACAGGTTATTTCAATAATTCGCTTGCCTGTAGGGGTCTTTAGCAGTGGGAGGAAACCGGAGGACCCGGAGGAAACCCACGAGGATGTAATGGTGACGCCACTCCTTGTCAGGTGCAACCGGGGAATAGAAACCACGCCAGTTTGCTAAATGACAGACCTTATAAAAAAACGCGCACGCGCTAACCACTCGGCCATTCAACACCCCTACAGGTAATTAATTTGACAGTATTTAATTAATTGGACAGTATTTATAGAGTAGGTTGATCTGGAAATATGACGACGAAATGCACTTTTCAACAGAACTCAAAGAAAAAAAAAACGAAGATCAGAAAGGCCATATTCACAGTGCTTATCTATTGCAAACCGCCCCTTTGCTTTGGCTGCTAAGAAAATCTTAGAAATATGATACAGTCCTAGCAAGAACCAAGGGTCATGTTTTGTAATGTACTTGATTAGACTTTCCCTGTAGCACTATAGTAATAAAATACCAAATACTTATTTATAGTGTACACGTATAGTAAATAGTATCGGACATACAAATTGTACTACATGCTTAAAGTGGACATCAATTTGGACAAATGAAAACTAATACCATCAAGTAGTTCCCACTTGAACGTTACAAGAAGTAGGATCGCCTGTCCAACCTCGTGGATTTTCTGCGTTTCCTTCCACGGCTAATGAACAGGAAGCACAAGAGTAGTCGTTGAATAATATGTGCACACATTTCACTTAGTGTTTTGTTAACTGCACGTAATATGCAGTTGCGAAACCATTCAAGATATCTTTTTGGGAGAAACCTTGAATTGTTTCATATTCTAAAACACAGGGGTGTAACCTGTAAGCATAAAGGTACACCAATGTGGCTGTTGTTGCTTACCAATAAAGCAGCAATTGTCTTGCCCTCCATCACGATTAGTGCTAAATGATAAGGCCAGCTCAATTTTACGTCACAGGCCACGAGATGTAAACAGGGCTAGCGCTAATCCCAACCATAACCCTAACTCTAACCCTATACCTAGCCCCAATGCTTACCATAACCCTAACATATAATTACGCCAACGATCACGTGCCCTAACCTTATTTACATCTCAGTGATCTTAACTAAATTTGAGCTAGCCTTAACAAATAGATATAGTCCCCGCACCACCCAAGAGCGCAGGCTGTTGACGTCGGAAACTTCCGGTTCTTTTTAAAATTTTACTACAGCAGATCAAGAAGTGATCTAAGAAAGGCCTGCGAGTACGGTTGTTTTGAGAGGCCCTCTTTTACTTTTGGTGGAGGTGGGAACTTTTTAGACTTATATTAAAAGTAGTTAATTTGGGAATTAGTAAGATTGTCACACGCTAAATTTGTGCATAAGCTAGAAAGATGAGGAAATACTCTTGAAAGTGCCATTTATAGTCAGTGTTTCATGATGTTTTAGGAGTGCGGGTCCGGCGCAGACAACGTCCACCTCGTCCCCACGCTGATCAAAGTTCGAAACGACATAGTGTAGTGAATTGATTGTCTCATCAATTCTGCATGGATGTGCATGACACAACGATACTTCCATTAATCAAAATTGTTTACGAACATCAACAATGAAAATATATTGCATCATTTTTCAAATCACCCTAGAAATAAGTATATAAGACTGTCCAGGATATTTGGTCGTCAGTCGATTTACAGACTGCTACTGATTCTACAAGAACCATGAAAGTCTTCATTATCGCAGTACTTGCTCTGGTGGCTTTGGGTAAGTATCTTTTATTTTCTGCCACTAATATATCGTTTGTTTATCGTCAGTCTGTTCAGTCGATCTGCGATCTGTGATTGCTGTTAATTTCTCAATCCGATCGAGACAGACTGCTATTGATTCTACAATAACCGTAAAATTCTTCATCGTCGTAGTTCTTGCTCGTGTGGCTTTCATCCCGCCGGTTAATTATTTCTTTTATTTGATTTCATTAACGGAAATGAAATGAGGTTTAACGTCCTACTATTCTACTCAGACATGGGCTTATAAATACGGGCATATACAATGTGCTATGAGGCTAATTTGGCCCAGACCGCGGCGCTACCACCTTCTCTGTCAGGGGATCTTTTACGCGCAAGCCAATGTGTACACAGTATCTCGTTTCCAGTCGTCCCATCCGCGAACCAAAACTACGCCTTAATATCCAGCTGACGTTTTCGGGCAACGCTGTGAGCGAACCCGCGATCTTCAAGCTAACGAGCCAGTGTCTTACCCACATAGCCACCGTGGCCCCCATGTCATTGACGGTGCTTCTGTGGCACAGTGAGTGGATGCTAACTAGGTTTCAACCCCGGGGATTGCCCAGAAGTTTTTTCCGCAAATTTTTCCGTCTAGTTGTTCTGGTAGGTAAAGAAAACCGTGATTCCGTGTACTCGTTGGCCTGCACGTAAAAGAACCCTTGGCTATGAGAATTCGAAATAAGAGTAGGCAGTAGCCCGACTGTCCTGACTAAATTATCATCAAAATTCACTGTATGACGTGTCAGCATTAGGTACAGAACAGTAGGACGTAGAGTCGCCTGTCCAGCCCCGTGGGTTTTCTCATGGTCCTCCCAATGATAAGGATCTCTATGCGCAAGCGAATTATTGAAATAAACTCGAATCATGTGTTCGTCCTGAAATGAATTAGTTTTGTGTCGAGTGGACGTTAAACCCCATTTCTCTTTCTTTCTCTGCCATATACATTTGAAGAGTCCATTGGAAGAACGATCTAGGTCACATTTTTGTCTTTTCGCATAAAAGGCAAGCAGACTTTTGGGCGAGAATAATGGACGCGAACAGAACGAGTGGGTTAATTACAACTTCAAAATGATGTTTAAAATACGAATCATAATTACCAGTACAACTGACTTCGACTTTTCAGGCAAATTAAGGTTTAATAAAGGGTACGATGGACTTGTATTTTTCCAGGAGGCCTTTTCAGTCGATTGTTTTTATCTGAAATAGATTGTTCCACAGAAAGCTTTTACAATTTGCTACCAGATAGAGCCATTAACTGGGATTCTTTTTAAAAAGTGACTTAGATCGTTCTTCCCCGGGGCTCTTCATTTTGTATTAGGACAAATTTCTTTCTTTCAAATTTCAAACATAATATTAATTGGCCGGAGTTGACATCTTTGTATTAATATGTATGTCATATACTGTACTGTCTGAGTTGAGTGGACGTTCAATTTCAAATATATTTTAATTGTCCTAACTTGACCTCTTGTATTACTGTACTGTTTGTGTCGAGTGGACGTTAAACCCCATTGATTTTACGATATATGTTATATAGGAACTACCCAGGCAGGTATCCACTGGAGCGATTTTCTAGTGGTAAGTAGATATCCTTTTTTGAACGTTTATAAACTTTACTTTGAGCTCGTGTCCACACCATAGAATTGACTATTTCTTTACTTCTCACCATAAGGTTTTGTATATTTGAAGTCAATTAAGCAATACAGGTCTCTGCTTACTCCACCAACAAGAAAATATAATGGCATAGATATAGAAATTACACGTCAATTCGGCACTGTTCGTGCTCTGGGGTGCTGGTTGGCCGAATGGTTAATGCGTGCGCGATGGATCATAAGGTCTGTCATTGAGTCGAGTAGTGTGGTTTCGATTCCACGCTTTTAAGTGACAAGGAGTAGGGTCGTCTGTCCAACATCGTGGGTCATCCGGTTTTCTCCCACTGCTAAGCGAGATATTGAAATGCAACGGAAACCCCACCATCTCTCTCTCTCTCTCTTTCTCTCTCTCCTCTCTCTCTCTCTTTTTCTGAGCTAATTACCTGAAATCACATAGCTTCCCATTCGCCCGCGTACGTAATCGTCTAATATAACAAAAGTAAATTAAGAAAAATGGATCGTAACCAGTGATCGAAATCCAGTACACCTAAAGATTCCTTGGCACTTGGTTTTCTAAGAGGATTGGACAGAAACGCCACTGACAAGTCTGGTGATAGTTCAAATTTAACTTATTAATTTGTTGTACTTCAGTGTAACAGATGGACCCAATTTTATGATCGTGACAACCCGTCCGGCTATGGTGATGAGGAACCATTGGACAGTCTTCGAACGGCTAGGCCCTATGATAATATCTGTGCAAGACCAGCTACCTTGGAATATGAAACCGTATCCACAAAAGCGTGTATCAACACCGGAGAAGTGATTACAGCATCACCGTTCACGGGTTTCGCATGTGTTAATTCTCGTCAACCCGATCAAAGGTGTAACGATTACAAAGTTCGATACTGCTGTCTAGACGGTAAGTATCATAGGTATTATATAAAGAAAATATAACTATACAATATCTGGGACCCAGAAACCAACGATTAGTAATCTTTTAGAATTAATATCACATTTGAATTATGTTTCATTTATACAGCGTTAATTTGCAGCCATATTCGTTCACTGGGCAAGATGGGAGCGTGGAGCTGAATAGAGAAAATGGGGATCACGTGGCTAAGTGGGTAAGACGCTGGCTCGCTAGCCATGAGATCGGGTGTTCGATCCCTGCATTGGCCGAGAAAGTTCTACCAGATTTTCCGGCGTGGTTTCCCCTTGTCAGTGATGCAGGATGGAGGGCCTGGCAAGGACAGCTGTCTAGTCGTTCGGATGGGACGAAAAACCGAGGTCCCGTGTACACATTGGCGTGCACGTAAAAGATCCATTGGCAGTTGGAATTCGATATAAGAGTAGGCCGTAGCGCCGCTGCCCGGGCAAAATTTCCCTCATAGCACACTGTATGGCGTATGCCCGTCTTCATTATCCCAGGTTAGGAGCAGAACAGTAGGACGTTAAACCCCATTTCATTTCATTTCTTCCTATCAAAAGAGTTCAACTGAAATCAGAATATATTTATATATTGTTAGACCTTGGCTACTTATGGACCCTTGTTTGGGTATGTAACTTCGTGAATTATTAATAGAACTAGCGGATTACCCGACATTGCACGGGTAGAGCCATGCACTGGAAGTAGTAGTGCATCGTCAGCAGGCCCTTATCATTCCCCGCCTCGTCGCCAAATGTCAGCCTCGTTAATATTCTCTATTTTCAGCCCAAGTCACATGCCCGAACGGATATGAATGGACCTATTTCTACGACCGTGACAACCCCTCAGGCACAGGTGATTGGGAATTATTGGGACAGCTACGAGAAGAAAATCCAAATGAGATTTGTGAAAAACCAATCGCCATAGATGTCCGTCGTCGAAGCAATGGCCGCGACTTTCGAACATGCGGCGAGAACGTCACTGTCTCTCCATCGTACGGATTTCTCTGCCTAGATCGAAACCAGTATGATCACTATTGTGAAGATTACAAAGTCCGATTCTGTTGTCCTTGTGATAAATAAATATCTAAATGGATAACATGAAAGAATAAAAAATATTGCACAATTACCTCGTTCACTGTGTTGGAATGTCTGTAACTGAAACTGAGAAAGGGTTTTTAATATTCTCCCATTTTTATGAAACGTTGTTTACACGCTAGATCAGGGCATCGCTTGGGACCAAAGGTCATACAAAGCTTTCCGTGTCGAACTGATTTTGGAAGACTCCCATTTTCCATGATACTGTGTTTACACGCTAGACCAGTTTTAACCAAGCCCTTTTCATTCTTGGGCCCCTCGGGTAAGAGTTTGGTACACCCTGATAAGGTGGTTCCTCAACTCATAGCAAGATGATGGCCATTAACGCGACTCTGGCATCAGCTAATAACGTACAAATACCAAGATCCACCGAAAGGGAAACGTTTGCCGGAAAATTCAAAAGAGCTTACTCGACAACATTAATCTCTTTATTCTGGACTTTGCTTATACTTAGATTTTTGACGTATTGTCGTCGTCATCGGAGTTGAGAGATAACTAAGCTTTTGTTTATCTTTATATACGATTGCAGTTAGGTTCATTTCATATTAATATGGCGGGTTGCATGGCCGAATTGTTAGCACGTGTGCGCTGTATCATTGAGTCAACTGGTGTGGTTTCGATTCTCCGGTTGTACGTGACAGGGAGTAGGGTAGCCTGTCTAACCTCATTGGTTTTCTACTGGTACTCCGGTTTCCCCCATTGCTAAAGACCCCTACACGCAAGCGAATTATTGAAATAAAATTGAACCCTTGGTTTGTCCCGAAATGACCTAGTTTATGTCGAGTGGACGTTAAACCCCATTTCCCTCCCTCCCTATTAGTATGCAGTAATGACCTGGCTAATGCAGACAGGCATTCACCTCTGCTTTTAGAGGTGACATTCCAACTGTTATGGCTACTATTTTCCCGGGCACTAGTGCTTCGCTCCCCCCCCCCACCCCGCCAACCTTATTTAATTCAAGATAAAGTCCAGTGCCTTTAACCCCTCTCGCCCCCACCCCTTGCATTCTATATAAGAATGATCACAAAACAATGACACACCAACACCAGTTTTCCTACATACATTTCCTGAACAATTCTTTAGTGTAGGGAAACGCCCTTCATTGACCCTCCTAGGAAATATTCCACTCACATGAGAGATCATCTCAAGAAAGAGATAAACTACCTGGATAATATCCGTATCACAGCGACTGGTGTAATAATCTTACATCCAGATTAACGAAGGATGGTGGGGACTTTTAAGTGTTCCGGAGGTCGGGTGTTCGCTCCCTGCATTGGCAGAGAAAGTTCATCCAGATTTTCCGGCGTGGTTCCCCCCTTGTCAGTGGTGCAGGGCGGAAGGCCTGACAAGGAACAGATGTCTAGTCCTTCGGATGGGACGGAAAATCGAGGTCCCATGTACACATTGGCGTGCACGTAAAAGATCCCTTGACAGTTGGAATTCGATATAAGAGTATGCCGTAGTGCCGCTGTCCGTGCAAAATTTCCCTCATAGCACACTGTATGGCGTATGCCCATCTTCATTAGCCCAGTTTGGAGCAAAACAGTAGGACGTTAAACCCCATATCATTTCATTTCATTTTTAAGTGTTCCGTTACCCCCGTGAACTAAATCAGACCCTTCGATATACAAGATGGCCATTATATTTCTTGATACTGCAAACGTAGATGACATACAACAGAGACACATAGAATGACTCAAACTAAAAGAAAAACACAGCTATGAACTTATCAGTAGACACTAGTGAATACTCAGTTGGGATCACGTGGTTTTTTGCATTTTCTTAGTGTGCCGTTAATAATTTTGCGGCATATTGGTTAAGAATCACTGCTATAGGATGTCATAGCGTTGTATATTATTATTCGACATAATACGTTTCGAAGGTGAACTAGATGAACAACTTCAACCTGTTGGGAAAGAAATGTTTCTACAAGAACAACAAGAAGACTGGGATGACGAAGATGTATCTAGTTAGGGACGACCAGGAACAACCAAACATAAACAGTATCGCAATTGGTAGATACTGGAATTTACCTTACAGAAATCTTGAGGTCCAAGATCGCCGCATTAACATTTGGAGGAAGTGGCTGCTGTCGTTGGCCTAGTACTTGTGGAAAAACCGGTGTATTCGAGTATTTCGTGACACATCCCGATTTGAAACGCCAAGTCGCATTCAAAACCGGGGAGATAGTTTAATGCATGCGCGTTAGACCGCATGGTCTGTCGTAGAGTCAAGTGGCGTGGTTTCGATTCCCCGGTTGTACGTGACAAGGAATAGGGTCGCCTGTCCAGCCTCGTGGATTGTCTCTGGGTTCTCCGGTTTCCTCTCACTGCTAAAGAACCATACGAGCTAGAGAATTACTTCAATAAAACTGAACCATGTGCTAGTCCCGAAATGACATAGTTTGTGTCGGGGGACGTTAAGAGATCTGGGGTTCCTCATTACCACAGTTTATGGTGAGGCAAAGGATGACTGGTCTTATGACATGAACGATGTAATAAGTTCTATGTTCGTGCTACCAAAATACCAAAACACTTGATTTTTTGTCTAACTTTATTGTGCTTAGCGCACGAGCAGGTGTCTTTCCTGTGGGCGGAAACCGGAGTTACCGGAGTAAACCCACGAGGTTGCGAAGACGCCCTACTCATACCAGGGATTAAAACTACGACCGCAAGTCAGAGGTGACTGACCGGCTAGAGCGACTCTTTAGAACATGGATATTCACTAAAACCTGGCAGCAAATGTACATTCAAAGCCTGTCGTCGATTCTACACCGAAAAGGCAACCAAACGGTCTTGCAAAAGGGGAAAAAGCGTAAGGGAAAGAACTAATTTTTAACAACTTTAGCTTTTTATTGGTTTGTTACTAACGTAGGAATTAATGGTATCTATATAGCAGATAGTGTAATACCTACATTGACTTGTCTACGATATCACTTTAGGTGGTCAGTGTCTATATAGCAGATTGTGTAATACCTGCATTGACTTGTCTACGATATCACTTCAGGTGATCAGTATCTATATAGCAGATAGTGTAATACCTACATTGACTTGTCTACGATATCACTTTAGGTGGTCAGTATCTATATAGCAGATAGTGTAATATCTACATTGACTTGTCTACGATATCACTTTAGGTGGTCAGTGTCTATATAGCAGATAGTGTAATACCTACATTGACCTGTCTACGATATCACTTTAGGTGGAACGAACGAATGAACGAACCTACATTGATTAAACAAATATCTCCACGAATCATCTGTGGTCTTGACCGACTAATAATAACGTTTATTTTAAGGACTCAGTATTCAATTATTATTAATACCAGGCATAGTATGACCCATCCAGATTTGTTCGACAATCTTATGTTTCTAACCATGGGTTACACCAGGGGGTCACGGTGGCTGAGTGGGTAAGACGCTTGCTCGCTAGTCTGGAGGTCGGGTGTTCGATCCCTGCATTGACCGAGAAAGTTCATCCAGATTTTCCGGCGTGGTTCCCCCTTGTTAGTGATGCAGGACGGATGAGAAGATGAGAAGAAAAACCGAGATCCCGTGTATACATTGGCGTGCACGTAAAATATCCCTTGACAGTTGGAATTCGATATAAAAGTAGGCCGTAGTGCCGCTGTCCGGGCAAAATTTCCCTCATAGCACACTGTATGGCGTATGCTCGTCTTCATTAGCCCAGTTCGGAGCAAAAAAGTAGGACGTTAAACCCCATTTCATTTCTGGTTACACTAGAAGTCATTTACGACATGGTTCATATTTTTGGACAGACCATAACTCGTAAATCCACACAAAAAAAAAATTCCGTTGAAATCCTCGAATTCAGTGCTGCCGTAAGAATAAATTGTACCGAGATCTAACCCTTGGCCTAACAGGTAGGCGTACAAGGCGGGGCGGGGCGGGGCGGGGGGGCAAGGGCACCAGTCAGACGGATTGATTGACTTAATAATGAGAGTTCATTTTCAGTTTGCTGTTTTCGCGGGCTGAAATAGCAGGAAAACGCGTTTGGAGCCATCTTAATCTCAAACATTTCCTCGGAAGATTTTACCCTCATACTCCGACCTGGTGACCGGCTTCACAAATTTCTTTGGGGAGATATCGCCCTCTTGCCCTCCGTTCTCGACCTGGTGACCGTTTCGGTCATTTCTTTTCTCACCCCTCTCCCGCAACATCTGGTATCCAGTTGGACACAGATAGGGATTTCGGTTCCAAAGCTCAATAAATAAGTCCATAGTGGACAACTGCCTTGTCGCTTCCCTCACTGGTCCGAATTGCAGGAAAATGCGTTGACAATCGTCTAATTTCAAATTTGTTCTACGGGATGCATAACCACTTTCCCTTCAATACCACCCTATGCCAACCGCAAAGGACATGTTTTCGGGCATTTCCATTTCTGCTCCCGTCCCCATCCCCAAAGCTGATCAGACATGTAAGCCTATGACCTTTCAGTTGGTATTCTTGTCCTAGGAGGTTAGTGGGAAGAGTGGGGGGGGGCTTCATGAATTCTGGTGCGATCGACAAGGAAATGTGCATGTTGATGCAAGGAACAGTGATTAGTCTTTTGATGACTGGGATGACGTTATGCTCAGCTCCTGGTTCATATATTGCGTTCGTACTTGTTACGAAACTTTGTACCACGGTATTTAGTTCGACAACTGATACCCGTTGACTGAACGTGGAAGTGGTAATACTTAATATTACTTTGAAGAGCGATGTGGATTTATTAGATTTGCTGAAGACACTGATCTTTATATACAAACAAATCTGATAGCTAGCAAGCTTTATTTCTCAATCTTAATCAATACATGATTCTGTTCGTTTAATAATTATTGGGACAGCAGAAACGGATTTTGTAATCCTGGCATTGTCCATCGGGTTGCTGTGCATCTACACACGAAAAGCCAAGTTCTGGAACCAGACATACAACCTCGCCGGCTGTGGAGTAGTCGTAGCCGGTACTTGTAACACGGACGTCAATAGCTACTGGATCTGTACATACACGGTTATAGGGGTAATCGATGTTG